TGTGAGTAAACAGAAGACGAACACATTAATAAATAACTCTTTTTAATTCATAGGCAATAGCATTCAAATCTCTTTTGGTAGTGTGGTGGTCCTGTTTTACTAAAACATACTGTGTACATTATTTCAATTATATATTGAAGAAAAAGGATGCAAAAACTTAGATTTAGATTAAATAACTTGTGGCCGAGTTGACTTGTGGCCGAGTTGATTTGTGGCCGAGTTGACTTGTGGCCGAGTTGACTTGTGCCAAACNNNGCCGAGTTGGCTGTAGCCGAACTTTTTGTGGCCGAGTTGATTTGTGGCCGAGTTGACTTGTGGCCGAGTTGACTTGTGGCCGAGTTGACTGTGGCCGAGTTGACTTGTGGCCGAGTTGACCTGCACCCTTGCTATCAGTTACTATAAGATGTACATATTTTAGGATGACTTTTCAGCAATTTTTTAACCAATAGTATGTCCAACTACTGTAAAAAAACTTCGATTAAAATACATCTGAACTGTCTTTTGACTTTATTACTATATCTTAATTCATTGTGGCAGTTTCATTTACAAGATGTGAAGAAATCATGATCACTTTACAAAGATGTGAAGAAATCATGACCTGCCACAACAGATACTGATTCATTTTTACATTATGTTTTAATGATACAGGTGATTACAGTACTGTAAAAAAAACATTTCTGGCATAATGATAAGAGACACAATCTGGAATGGGAATCACATGACCTACAGTTGAAACAAAAATGAAATTAGACATAGAGTGCGAGCATACGAAGATCAGTGAAAATGTATGGCTTCTTTCTACATGTTTCTACTGTCACTTCATTATGTTCAATAATGCTGGTTGGAATGCCAGTAAATTACTCTAAATAGCTTAGACATTAGAACTTGGAAACATTGTCAGAATGCTGGTTAATTCTCCAAAACATTCTTCAAACAAAATTGGGTTTTTTTCTAAGAATAATCTTTGTAGTTTGTAGGCCTAGGCCCCTATCTATGGTAAGAAAAGGTTGTGAGTGGGTAGAGAATAGTTCAAGGCTCACAAGTGATCGCAATTCTAGAGCCTATATAAAGTACAGAGAATGCTAGAATGAGTATTAGAACAAACATCTTGCCTTTTTCATTTATTTCTCAAATTCCCATTGTCTTAAAAACATTTCCTCTACTTTCCATGGTATAGTATGTTTATTGCTACACTGAGAAATGATGACTAGTAGTTCAAACAATCTGTGGTCGCCGATTGTTTCTATTAGAATTATAATATTAGAATATATATTATTAAATCTACCATTATTCTACCATTTATGCACATATCATTAGGAGAATACAATATATTCTACATTCTAAGTACTGCATATACTCTACATGTAATGATAAATTATGATATTTTCTACATATGATTACTATTTCATTCGTTTGTTCGGGCCAACACCCAACGTTTCCCTATCTCTTTAGGCCACCAGCCCACAGGGAAAGCAAACTCAAAAAATAGAGGGAAGAGGCTTCCTCTTAGGGACAAACATAAAAAAAAAACTTTGATAAATTAATTTGTAAATTAACATTTCTAAATAATGAAATCAATTTACTGCAGTATTAAATATTTTTTTCTATAAACTACTTTATTGATTGGTATAGTACTATGCTTATCAACTTTTTTTGATATTTGTCATTTTTAAATATTATTCAAGCTTGGCACAGTGAATACTGAAAAACTGAAATAGTTACAATGTGATCAAAATTAAAAATGATATTTTTTTACATACAAAAATATTCAGAAATCATTGTGTGTTTCACTATCATTTATTTTATTATTTAAAACCAGTTTGTTTCGGTCTCACTGTAAGTTGATAACTTACTGTATTAGACTTGAGTCTTCTCAATTGTATGATTGAATTTGACCTATATATCAGATAATGAGTATCATAATTTAAAATAGAAATAACAGTACGTTTACCTTTCAATTGTAATGTCTCTATCCGAGACTTGAAATCTGTTGTATTCTGCGGAGGATATAA